TCAAAAAGAACTTGAGATCCACTTAAAATGTTACAATAACTTTCGAACTTCCCTTATAACAGACTAGTAAGAATTAACAGGTTATGAAACTACAACTACTTACATTTTATAAGTAACAGAAATAATTTTTGTCATCAATTTTTTAAAGCGTAATTTAAGAAAGTATTTATTCATAATATTGCTGCCTACATAATATCATTCAAAAGTATATATACATTGAAACATACATTAGAATCAGCATTATTAATCAACAAATTAAACGTACCTAAGTATATTCAGAAATATGAAACACTAATACATGCTCATTAAAATAACAGCAACAGATATTTAAAACAGGAACGAAAAATTGTTATTTAGCAAAGAAATCAGAAATCATTGTTTGTATCCAAAATGCTCTTTTTCTTACAATTAGTCTTTTTGTAACATTTAGGTCAGCTACATCGACGTCAATCTCTTGTAGCCACTGATATTGAGTTACTAAATTTAAATAGGTATGTATATTAGCAATGATCAAACAAAGCACAACGGTAAAATATCGATTTTTAAGATGTTGATCATTAATTTCCATTAATGAAACTCACTCTGTTCACGGTGTACGGAGGTCTAGCATGATTAGCATGCTGGTTACGTAATGCGGGGTTTCTATAATGTGTAGTTGACACCATTAAGATTCTGCTGTCTGTTGATTATGTTGTTTTTCTTTTAGACTTCTGAGATTTGACTCATTTTAGTGATTTTGTGCAAAGTTACCCTTTTCTCATTACCATAGTGAATCATAATTGCTAATATAACATAATTTTCCTATGGATACAGTTTTCTGATTTATCCTTACAGCTTTCATGTTTATATTTCTTAAAAATTTGTGATAATTTCTTGAAGGTGTGTTTTTCCGTACTGAACAGGTTTTGAATGTAAAAATTTGTTGCATATTTAAATAGTCATCATTGCCGATAGGCAGTGGTGTAACATTTATAGGAACTAAGAGACCAAATCCTTATGAGGATCAACTACAGTAATTACACTATTTGAAAAAATAGCCCATTTTAGTTTCTTTAGCCACAATTTATACAGTCTTTTAGCTATATTTGAAAATATTGACTTAAAATTGTAGACTTTGAGTGTATTGTGTAGTTCTGTTAAATAATAAAAAAAAAACGAATAATAAAGAAGAAGATACATATATGCTACCTATTACATTAGAATAGTATTTTCACTAATAGTTTTGATTTTTTTTGATTGAACAACTTTAATATCTCTGAAATCTCCAATTCCTTGTGTATAGTTAATGAATCTCATTATTTGAACAAAAAATCACCAAAAATTTGTAGTTTTCAAAATGAGCTAAAAGTTTGTATTTACTTTTCAATTTTCGTCAACTTGAGCTCCCCAATAAGCTTCAGTAATAACCTTGGTTGTTCATTTTAGCTCAACATGAGTGGCTAGCTACTTAAAAAATTAAATTCATTTTTTGATGGCAAAAAAATAAGTTCAGTAGGTACTAAATAAAACTAAATGTATATAATGAACAGTTTTTTTGCGGTTCTTGTTCTTAAAATATGGTTGAAATATTCTATAATGCATCTACTTATTTTATTTTGCATTCTCTTTCATCCTTAAGGCATGACCGTTTGGCAAAAAAATAGATCAGTTGAATGAAGCATATGGCAATTTTTTCAGGGAACTGTTTTTTACTAACAGTTAATGTAATTGAATTTAATGGTGCATTTGTCGTAGATAAGTGGATCTATTATGACCATGCCAAGGTCTCTTTGATCATTTTCGTCTATGGGAAAATTATTTGCTACTACTTGCAGTATTTAATTGTTTCATGAGTCATTCTGAACAGACGCTCCAATGTCCGCACATACATGATTTTAATGGTAAATTTCCAACTCATTTTTACTCTTTGATCTCCTTAAAGTAAGTCGCAGATTTCCAACAATGTCGGACTCAAGAAAGCAGCTATCATCATCATAAGGTCGTTAGTTGCATTTCCCTAAAACTAGAACATCTCACATCCTTAACTATTTGTGTACAGCAATCTAATCGAGGCATACTTCTCTTCTTAGCTCCTGTTTCTGCTTCTGATATGTCTCTAACTTAGCCCTTAATACATGAGAAAGTGTCTTACTAACCTATCTCAAGTACTTCTTATTGATTTCTGTTCTCCTACTCTTTTTAATATCTCCTTATTTCTAACCTGCTCTACCCAAGGTATCCTCATCATTCAGCTGTAACATCATATTTAGAACGCTTCTAACCTAACCTAACTTTTTCTATTCCGCCGCGCCCATCGTCCACGTTTCGTATCCGTAAAGAATCATACTCCAGACATACACCATTAACAATCCTTTCCAAATTTCTAAGTTAACTGTTCGAGAGCATAAAAGTTACTTCTTCTTTTTAAAGGCGACTCTATCCTGCGTCATCCTCTATTCTATGTTTCTACTGCTCCGTCCATCCTGAGCTATCTGATATCGTAGATACCCAAAACCAGTCACTTCTTTTAATTTTTCGTCTCTTATTTTTATATTTACCTTTTCCCTTATGTTTATAGAAAAAGAAAATGTTAATAAAACTGAGATGTAATGAGTGTATTGAGATTATGGGAGAGATAATTGAAAAATAAAAACGATGAGGTGTTTTAAATAGAGTTGCTGCTATTTAATCAGGATGTATTAGTGTTTTATATTTCTATGTATATTTGAAGTGTTGATTAGTGATTGTAGATATTATTACATATTAAATATGTGTACATTTCAGTAGCATCTGTTCTTTTTGTTCGGTTGACACTATCGCGATTCTACTGCATTTCTTTTCTTCTTTCCTTATCCAGAGAATATATTGAATGACTCTCGTAGACGATTCATTATATAATGCCATTTAAAAGTGTAGTACGATAAATTTGGCTTTTTTTTGTATCAAAAAATAACTGAAAGTAAATTTCATTTATTAGTGGGTCACGACAGATAAGGTTGCTGTAATAATAATACCGTGTTGACTTATCTGGGCGGGAAAAGTATATCATCCTTACTATAAGTTTGTACTACAAGAACACAAACAAACATGTGAAGTTTATCGGTTTGTTGACATTGTAGCAGCTACTACCAATTTTTTTTTTATCAAATTTATTTCTATTTTTACTTTATTANTTAACTGTTCGAGAGCATAAAAGTTACTTCTTCTTTTTAAAGGCGACTCTATCCTGCGTCATCCTCTATTCTATGTTTCTACTGCTCCGTCCATCCTGAGCTATCTGATATCGTAGATACCCAAAACCAGTCACTTCTTTTAATTTTTCGTCTCTTATTTTTATATTTACCTTTTCCCTTATGTTTATAGAAAAAGAAAATGTTAATAAAACTGAGATGTAATGAGTGTATTGAGATTATGGGAGAGATAATTGAAAAATAAAAACGATGAGGTGTTTTAAATAGAGTTGCTGCTATTTAATCAGGATGTATTAGTGTTTTATATTTCTATGTATATTTGAAGTGTTGATTAGTGATTGTAGATATTATTACATATTAAATATGTGTACATTTCAGTAGCATCTGTTCTTTTTGTTCGGTTGACACTATCGCGATTCTACTGCATTTCTTTTCTTCTTTCCTTATCCAGAGAATATATTGAATGACTCTCGTAGACGATTCATTATATAATGCCATTTAAAAGTGTAGTACGATAAATTTGGCTTTTTTTTGTATCAAAAAATAACTGAAAGTAAATTTTATTTATTAGTGGGTCACGACAGATAAGGTTGCTGTAATAATAATACCGTGTTGACTTATCTGGGCGGGAAAAGTATATCATCCTTACTATAAGTTTGTACTACAAGAACACAAACAAACATGTGAAGTTTATCGGTTTGTTGACATTGTAGCAGCTACTACCAATTTTTTTTTTATCAAATTTATTTCTATTTTTACTTTATTAATAACTATAATGTAAGATTGAAAGTGTTTTCTGTATATTATTTTTTATTATGGTCAAAATTGTATATGCAACTATACTTTTCCAAAAAGATAGTTCTCTGCATGTAGTTACTCGTGTTTATTTTTTTTTTTTTGTAAAAACGTTAAAAACCATTTAGAAAAGTAATCGTAGGTAAATTACTTCTTATTTTTAGTTTTCCGTTTTATTTTGAAACGGTAGGTATATATTTGGCCCAAATGTCATTTATTGTTATCTTTATTACCTTAAAATGTATCCAAAATTGTGTACGCTTCTGCTTCCGGTGTCAAGATATACGACATATTATAAGGCTTCACAGGAGCCAAAACATCAAAGACAATTTTCAAACTCCGTACGTTTTTGGCTAAGAGTTTGGTGCATGGTGCATCTTGGCGTTCTAATGTTCAGATTTACGATAAAAACGTAAATCACTTTATATTAGTCGTAAATTAATATTGTAGGATATATGTTTTAAGTAAAAATATGCCATCAATCTATCCTTAAAAAAGGAGTGAGATATGTATATAGATAGTTGATATTATAGATTATAAATCNTTAAAATAGAAAAAAATCCTTATTAAGGTTGCTATTATTTTCAAAGGATTATTACAAATTTCGTACTGTTTTTCTTCAAAATCTTTTCTAGTTTCAGATTCCAATAAATATCACGAATGAATAAAATAATGTTTCTTTTTTAAGAGTAGATAAACTCAATTTAATTAATAGTGCCAAAAAATTATGAACTACGTAAAGAGAATGTAGTCAGTAAATAAAATCCATGAACGTTAAAAATTTCTAAGGATGTATTATCTGCAGCGCTTTAACGTTAAAAACGTAGCGAGATGCGTCTAATGCATGAACATCGAAAGGTAGAAATCGTTGCCGTTCTGGGTAAAACGAAAAGCTCGGGATTATCCTTCGGAAGCTCGGGCAGCGCGTTGTCGTCGCTCAGCATCCTTCCTCTCGTAGGCCGCAGGATTCTCTCTCAGAAGCTATTCAGATAGCAGGAGTGGGGATGAGTTGAAGTTAGCCGCGTGTATCGCCGAATCAACAACAGTTTATTTCAAGCGTTCGCTTAAGTTGCTCAGCTACATTACTGCGATCGACGCACGGCAAGTACAGATTTGTGAATGTGACAGTAACGTGCAGTGCCGGTAAACGCGCATTCTTTGCCGGCGTCCTTGCTAGTTCTAACCGGAAGAATCGAAAGTCGAAGTCCTGCGAGAAATTTTCCTAACAGATTGTCATAAACTGACGTTTGTTTTGTTCATATGTGCAATCACTGCGGCTTTAAAAACTTTTTAAAGTTACATTTGTCACGTGGATTTTAAATCGACGCGATATCGAAAGCTTTACGTTTCTATTGGACATTAATAAGCTCCTGTTAGTATGTAGGCAAAAAAGAAAAAAAAACTTCTTTCCAAATGTAATTGGATCTCATCTACTTAATGTTAAAGTGATAATTGTCTTCAAAATTAAAAAACGAAATCAATTGATTGACGATTATCAAATTTGTGTGAAGTGTGCGATTGTTTAAAATAGAAAAAAAAACATGTCGAAAGTAACAAACATTTTTATACTGTTCCTTTCAATTATTCCTACCGTAATATTGGGGCGAGCCACATCTCCCCTAATCGAGGAAGACGGCCCCAGGGCGAGAAATAGAGCAGCAGGTAAAAATTTTCGCATTCTAAAATATGAACTTTTATTTAATATGAAAAGTTTGTTTGGTAAATATAAACAACGTCATTGGGTAGTAAACGTTTATATATTGCAGGACTGTTCAAAATACGAATGCACTTTAAAACTGCATTTTTAATAATAATATAATTTAAAAATACGATAATTTAAATATTCGACGTAATATACTATATCATAATTGTATCCATACAAATATTATCTGGAAATATGCTGATTGCAATTTTTAATTTTTATGAGCCAAATATGCACATGAGTAAAATTATCAACTAAGAATTTTACTTGCTTCATTTAATCGTTGCACGCATAAATAAAGTACACCTTGCGTAGTAAGGTCATACGCAAAATTCAATTAACGATAAGTCAAGTTAAAACAGACGAGATAAGAAACACATATAATTAAATAACCAGCGGCAAACAATATTTTATTCAATTAATGATATTTTCTCTGCACTTCGAACTGTAGGAATGTGAGACATTTATAACTAATAATTTTGTATAATTTTTTTTTTTTTTTTCAAATATTTTTTCAATAATGGTCTACAACAATAGTTCCCTTACGTCAGACACAATTAAATAATTGACAGTTCATGTAGACGTAATAAATCGCATTGTGTCATGATTCTGGTTTTTATTGAACAAAAATTGGACTGTTGTGTATTTAATATGTTCGCTAATTGTTAATTTATGCTTTTCGGTACCAGATGTTTTTATGCTGGTTGATGCTTATGGACTCTTTGATTATGAATATTAATTTTCTTGTTTGAGTAATTCACGTGGCTGTATAAAACCCACCGTCCCGTCTGGTTCGATTCTAAAACAGAAAACATAAAATACCGTGCGATACATGATCTGTTTATCAATGTCGCCAAATGTCCCTTTCAGTGTTTGTACGTATGTAACAGCAGTACACATACATAGGTGCAGGTTCACAACATAAACAATACACACACGTATACCTTTTTACATGTGTGTGCATTTTGAGTACATGTACAGGCGTTTATTATTACCTTATACTTTATTCTTTATTGTAACTTTTTGTAGGTGTATGAACATAATTTGTGAGCAAAAGATCGCGTCATTGCTGTTCAAAAGAGGAATATTTTGCCATTTCCATATTTTACTTATGTGATTAATTAAAGAACTTGTTATTATTGCACAAAACGAAACGATTTTATATCTGACTAATCTGGAAGACTGAAAAACTTTGGCGGTGTAGTATAATACTCTAAAAAGCTCAAACCGCGACGCCAAAGGACGACACCAAGCGTTCGAAATACATTTCAGTAACTAGGTAGAAATAGCTTTAAATAAAACGGAGGTGGTATTGACGAAATAGTATTGTATGAAAATAATTAAAAGTAAAACAAAAATACTGGTATGCAAGGGAAGAAATAGTAGGGAAAGAGCGAACATAAAGATAGGAGACGAAAAATTAGAAGTAGCTGTTTTTCTTCATTTAGGAAGTCAGATAAATCAGGAGCAGCAGGAATTTAAAGCAGAGGATATCGCAGGGTCGAGTAGCCTTCAATAAAAGGAAGTCACTTCTATGTTTGCCAACTGTTAATATAGAAATTTCAAAGAGATTGTTAAAAGTTAAATTAAATTTGGACGTTTGCATTTTGAGGTTTCGAGGTGTTATCATTTTTGAGTTCGAGACGTTATATTACTATTCTCGTTCAAAGCAGTCACATAAAATAGAATTTTCATATCATAAGAGGCCCGTACAAAAGGTTTCGACTCAACCCTCTCGTTAAGAATCCTCCACCCAAGAATTAAAGTTTCATTGGTTTAGTGTTTAAATGACTTTTTGAACGGGACTGACCGTGGTTTGGGACGTTGTTGAGGGTGGTATTTAACAGAAAGTCCGCCAGAACGAAATCAAGAACCGTTAAGGATGTTTGGGAGATATGTCAGAATGCTACGAGATAAATAAAAATTTGGAAGAACGTTCCTCATTCAATTCTAAAACTCCTGTAAAAATTACAAATCGATTCACTAAACCGTTGAAAAGTTATTGAAATTTTAAAAAATTGTAATTTTACACGTCATTTTATGGAGATTCGTTAACCGAACAGATTAAATTTATTTTTATTAACAGAAAAAAAGCTACCAGAAATTTCAAACTTTTATAATAAGTAACTTGAACTCTGGAGAATCACTTTAGCGTAAGGTTATTCAAATTCACTAAATGGTTATCGAGGAAAAAATGAAAAATTAGCTGAAAATCTCGTTTTTACTTGATAATATAATGATAATATTTATAATTGTCTGAAATAAATGCAATTTTAAAGTTTTAATTATTATTTAAACATATTAAAAAGTTTTACGCTCATTATTAATAGAGATTGAAACTAAATATTTTTTTGTTTCGAAGTTGAAATCAAGGCATATTCACTGCCAAAAGTCAGTTAAAAATTTTCCATATTATTCGTTATTTCTTATTTTATTCAAAGTTTTCGGTTAAATTCCAAATTTTCTTTCAAACCGTATACTTTTTTTAGTATAGATAGTATTCATTTACCTCACGATATGCTGCAAAACCTAATTAATTACGAATTTCTAACGTACTCTTGTCTCCGATTGTACCTCCCAAACATCCTTAAACGTAGGGTTTTGCCGGGTAACTGGTTATCCGGTATCCTGTAAAATCGCATCCAGTGCATTTCTACTTTATTTGACATTATAGTTAAACGTGTTATTCATTTTACTGACAATGAGTGTAATATTATGACCATTCGTTTAGTAGTTTAGTGTAGATATTCAAAGAATCATCGTTGACAAGGTCGTTATGGTAACAGAAAATTTTTTGCTTAATTATTTATTAAACGCTAGATACTTAGATATATAGAAAATATGTTTATGCTTCTTGAACAATCAAATATGAAAATTAAAAGAGTTTTCTTATAAGGTCACTCGTAATTTATTGTAGTTCAATTAAAATTATTATACTACGGACGGTAGTCGACCAATTGAGAAAAATTGAAATGTAAATCGCTGCAACGCGCGCCGTATCTATCTGATATGTACAGACTGTCCCAGTTCGGGTGACTGCAATTCAATTGTTCGTAAATCTTCAAAAAGTAGCATACAATAGAAATGTCAATAGGATTTGATAATGTGCATTACGAGGGAAGAAACAGAAAAGAAAAATATTTTATTTTTTGTAAAATTCTAGTTATCAAATAAATATCAATAAAATGTAAAATTAGAGCATAATAAAGGCGTGTAAGCTTTCACGGCCGGCATCATGTAATAGTTTGTATTCGAGCATTAATTTTTCGATACAATTGAAATAAATAACTAAAAAGTCACAGTGGGTAAAAATTTCGAAAATTTGTAAAATACATCAAACAAATAGAACAATACACTAAACGCCCTTTAACGTGGCACAAAAGTTAGGAAAGGAATATGTAAAGTGCTGTTATTAACTAGATGATGACCCACATTCATCATCTACATGAATGACAAAGTTTAGATAGTGTTCTCGACAAATATGGGAAAAAAGCGTATTACAATTTTAGTTTAGTATGATAAATATGTATGCAAAACGATTTTAAAACTGGTAAGTATAATATTAGAAAATGAATACATGAGATGCAAATATTAATAATTCAAGCATTCGTTGAACTTGTTAACTTTATAATTCAAGAGGCCCCTGAAAGCACAACTTAATTGATTCTATATTTGACGACAATGTGGTGCCATATTTGGGACTCGTTGTATGTACACGCTTATAACTGTACCATGAGAAACTTGACTGCCAGTTTGTGAACTGTTTTGCTTTTAATAGCTTTTAGTCGATTATTCCTTTTTTTCTTCAAAATCTGCTAATGATAATTTCTCTTTGAACGGCCGCGGGTTGGTTACTGTTTAAATTTGCGTTAATTAAGTGTAATGCCGCAGAACCTTTCATTTCAGAACCGTCTATACATATATAAAACACATACACATGGGTATTTAATCACAAGTGGCCTTTTACTTTTATTACTTTGTAAAATTATTGCTATTCTACCTATTAGTTACTCTACGATTGCTGTTATATTTATTTATGCAAACTACGTAAATGTTCAACAACAATTTATTTGTCAGATGCAAGTATGTGTATTGCCTGATTGATTTAGTTTTGCTGTTGACTTTTTGTTTTTATTCCTTTTTTTTTGTGTGTATTGTCTGATTTAGTTTTGCCGTTGACTTTTTGTTTTTATTCTTTTTTTTTTTAAAGAAGGTAATAAAATGAACTACATATTTTGTTTAAGTTCGTTTATTATTAAACTCTGGTTGCATACGACTGGCTTTGCATTGAATATCATAAATTATTCGCTCTTGCACCTAGCAGGAATGCTAATATTAAGTCATCATAGTGATAACAAAAATTTATAGTCTCCAATAAGCTTCAGTAATAACCTTGGTTGTTCATTTTAGCTCAACATGAGTGGCTAGCTACTTAAAAAATTAAATTCATTTTTTGATGGCAAAAAAATAAGTTCAGTAGGTACTAAATAAAACTAAATGTATATAATGAACAGTTTTTTTGCGGTTCTTGTTCTTAAAATATGGTTGAAATATTCTATAATGCATCTACTTATTTTATTTTGCATTCTCTTTCATCCTTAAGGCATGACCGTTTGGCAAAAAAATAGATCAGTTGAATGAAGCATATGGCAATTTTTTCAGGGAACTGTTTTTTACTAACAGTTAATGTAATTGAATTTAATGGTGCATTTGTCGTAGATAAGTGGATCTATTATGACCATGCCAAGGTCTCTTTGATCATTTTCGTCTATGGGAAAATTATTTGCTACTACTTGCAGTATTTAATTGTTTCATGAGTCATTCTGAACAGACGCTCCAATGTCCGCACATACATGATTTTAATGGTAAATTTCCAACTCATTTTTACTCTTTGATCTCCTTAAAGTAAGTCGCAGATTTCCAACAATGTCGGACTCAAGAAAGCAGCTATCATCATCAT